AAAAAAAAAAAAAATGGAGTCACATCAGTTTGATAATGATTGAAAGGGGGTCAAAAGTCCCAGAGGTTAGTATATTTATACTAATTTAAAGCAAATGAACAGACACTCAGCCAGCCTTCACGCTGAGAGCCTGGTGAGGACCTGGGCTGACATCTCAGCTCTTCTCCTTGTTTGCTGATCCTCTGCATCTTCCTCACCACTCTCAAACTCTCCAGCCACATCTTGACCCTGGCAAGAGCCACAACTTCCCCCTACGACCCTCTCCTCAACCAGCCATCAGCTCCACCCCAGGAAAAGCCTGCCTTGGTTCCTGACCTGATCACCAGGTCTGAGTGAGTGTGCTTCTGTGGACTTAGAGGCTAAGGCTGGAGACTTTTGATCTGACACTTGAGCTTAGCGCGCAGAGGAAATGTTTATCAAGAGCCTGTTATGATTAAGTGTGTTTGCGCTGGGTATGTGGCTCAAGTGGTAACGCGTTTGCCTGGCATGCGTGGGGTGCTGGGTTTGACCCTCAGCACCATATAAAATAAAAAAATAAAGATGTTGTGTCCACCGAAAACTGAAAAATAAATATTAAAAATATATATATATTTTTAAAAAGTGTGTTTGCAGTGCTTAAGTTAATCTAGAATTGTTTGCTGTGAATGGATTATCCTATTGCAGTGCCTAGCATTAAGGATTGTCATTTCCTTGATTAAGAACCTAGAGAGTGAAATTGTATTGAATGATTTGAGTGAATAAAGTATTGAATGGAAGGGGCAGAAGCGCATGGAGATTCTTTACTTTTCCCCCTGAACTGCATCTTTTCCCATCGCGACAAGCATTCGGAGAAAAGAAATAGTATCTGTTTTGTATTTTTCAAGTCTCTATTTGGCTGCTGTGTAGAGAAACAGGGGAGGGAGATGAAGTCAGATACAACTGCAAAGGTTGAGTGGGAAACAATACCAGAGGGGGGCAGTGTGTGTGTGTGTGTGTGTGTGTGTGTGTGTGTGTGTGTGTATAGGCAGGCCCAACAGTGTAATGATGAACCCAGCCTAATTCCATCTCAAGATTGGGAGCCATCTCCTCTCAAAGTCATGATGTAAAGGTAAAATTTCTAAGCTGATTCTAAGCTGCAAAAGCTTGAGTTAAAGTGTAAAAGAYTGGGCATTGTAAAGCTTCTAAATGGCAAGGCCTGGGCTAAAAAGYAAAGACTAGGTATTGTTAAAATTCCTCTGCTACCCCCGGAACCTGTAATCTCTGTAGCTGTTAGGACAATGCTGGAACTGCCCAGTAAATATCTCCATTGATTCCCTGGTTGTTTAATAGCTAAGGGCTCTAGGTAGCTTGGCACGTAAGCATCTAGGCTCCAAAACCAATCAGTTTAAATGTGTACCCCGCTTAGGGGTGACCAATCACCCCTGCCCAGACTGTTCCCGCCAATGAATGTACTAATCCCCTCTGTCTCAGAGTTGTTGTTCAATTTTCCCGCGCCTCATGATGATTTGTTCTGATGTATGCAAAGCCCACCGCCCTCTCCAGAAAGTGTACTTAAGCTCTGCTTGACCTCTGCTCTGGGCTCTGGGCTGCTCTCCCTTCTTGAGTGAGCACAGAGCCCCAGCGCGCTGGAATGGATCCCAAATAAAATCCCCTTTTGCCAATTGCATGGAGCCAGTCTCTTGTGTGGTCTCTTCCTCCGACGCTCTGCCGGAACCTTACAATGAAAAGTTAATTTCTGTTTTACTATAAATTACTGTGATTTCTAAACTTGTTTGAAATTCCTGCCCATGTCTTGAGCTCACCCATGCCTGGCTCCCCTGACCAGATAACAACCCTTTCTGAAACCTCAGTGGTACCTCATAAATTTTGATGTTGGGATGTGAATTTACTCCCTACCGTGAAATATCATGCCATCCAGATCATTAACCTGCTACCTGCCTTTGTATTATGCTTGTCAAAATCCTGTCAGCTGTAAGTTCTCAAGACACTCTCCTTTGCAACTTTTTGTGCTATAAAACCTTGTTCCTGGAAAGCTGGGGGGCTGGTCTCTAGCCTGTKYTAGGGGAGACAGCCGCTGATCAGCTCTCTTTGTGTCCACAAATACGAGCTTGCTTCAATTTGATTTAAAATTGGAGTTGGTGGTCTTTTCTTTGTGTCAGGGTTCAACAGTAATGCCAGTTGATTAGAAATTTTAATCATAAAATGTTACACACATTACACACATGCCTACAACATTCCTGCTTGCACTCCTCTAATCTGTCATGTCATCCAAAACAAGGAAAGTGTAAGAAACTGTTGCAGCCAYGAGGAGACTAAGGAGATACGATGACAAAGTGAAAGGTGGGGTTCTGGGTGGGCCTCTGGAATGGGAAAAGGACAGTAGGTAAAAACCAAGAACCTTCAATATTAGTTCATCGATTGTGACACATATTCCACAATAATGAAATATAATAAGGAAAGCTGAGAGGTGACATTTATATGGTAACTTTCTGTAGTATAATTTTTCCATAAGTTCATTTAAAAAGGTAAGCCCTCCAAACAATGTGACTGATATCCATGTATGAATGGAGATGGTTACACAAAATGTGAATAGACTTAATACYACAGAACTATGTACATTAAAATGGTTAATTTTAGATTACATTATATTTTGTAATTTTTTTTTAAAGGTTCCCTTTGGCTTCAAACTTTTTTCTGTCCACAAGGTTTAGAATTGGGTGACTTGGGGCTGGGAATGTAGCTCAGTGGTACAGTAATTGCCAAACATGCACAAGGCCCTAAATTCAGTCCCTAGCATGGGCAGTYGGGGGCACTAGGATTGGGTGACTTGCTGAAGTCAGAGCTGATATTTGGATGCAGGTTTGGCTGCCTCCAAAGTCTAAATTCTTTTTTCTTTATATATTTTTTAGTTGTCGATGGACCTTTATTTTATTTATTTATATCTGGTGCTGAGCATCAAACCCAGGGCCTCACAAGTGCTAGGCAAGCATATGGCTACCATTGAGCCACAACCCCAGCCCGCCAAAGTCCAAGTTCTTAACCACTCTGCTTCATTGTTATGAAATTCCTTAAGAGAGTCTTCCTGTCACTAATTRAATCCTCCTTCAAAACATCCTAGCAACTAATGCCCAGGTGATCTCCAGGTCCCTCAGAACATCTCACTCTCCTGTGCAGGGGATTTAAAGGGAGATCCACTGCTACCCATTCACATTAGGCATTCAGAAAGCCCTTTGTGGTCCAGGTGCCACGGGGCACACCAGTAGCTCAGGAGGCTGAAGCAGGAGGATCGCAAGTTCAAATCAGCCTCAGCAACTTAGGGAGGCCCTAAACAACTTAGTAAGACCCTTTCTCAAAATAAAAAAAAAAAAAGGCTTGGGGATGTGGCTCTGTAGTTAAGTGCCCCTGGGTTCAATTCCTGACCCCCAAACACCCCCAAACGAAAACCCTTTATGAAATGATTGCAACTGACCTTTTAGGTCAAATGAATCCCTTTATTTTTCTTTGACAAGTCAACACGCACCCAGTACTGGATCTTTTCCTAATTCAGCTGTTTCTCTCTCGAAAGTCTTTCCTTGGGTTTGTCTGTGCAGGCCCAGCTCAAACTGAAAGGTCTGCCTTATCCCATGAGCCAAAAGTAATTATTCAGAGCTTCTCTTCACGAAGGATAATTGGTCCTGAGGGGAAAAGCCACAAAGAGAATCCACTTAAAATAGAGACCAAAATGTCATAGTTAAGAAGCTTAAAAGGCCTGATTGTAGGAAGACAATCTAGGATTAAGCCCAAACAAACCTACCGTAATACCACGTGTAGAGCACTTACACACGTTTGTTATTCTTAATAAAAAAACATGAAAGGTGTCTATTTAAAAGCATATAGGC